TCTTGTACAGCTCCTTCTGGTATAATAAGGGTCACACCATATTGACCACAATGATGTATCAAACCATTACTATCAACCATTAATTTTATCAAATCACCAAACACACCTAAATAAAGCATAATATTGTGGAGAAGATGCTATAAACCATGCAATATACCTTTCATCTTTTGAAAGAAATTTTTAGGTAATACAGGTAGTTTTGGACTTGTATTTTCAATAGATACAACACTTGCTGCAAGGGATTCTGTAGTGTTTAATTGATTCTGGATACTTTCATTCTGCTCAGTTGTCATTTGTTCTGTGTGGAGCATAATTAACTGTTACATAAGAAAATCAACACTTTTCCCCACATTTCTGTGATAAAAAGCCAGTGAATATTTAAAATTATTCATTAAATCACAATAAAATTTATTTTGGTTAATGAAATGTAAGAGTAAAAATACTTACGAGCATTGTATTTCTTTTTGTATTCTGTTTCTAATTTCCTAGCCACTTCTTGTGAGGCCACAGTATCATAGTCCTTGAGAATTTTTATAAGCCATAAAAATATTTCTCCTGGCCTCAAAGACAAAGAAACAGCTCTTTCTAATTGTATGAGCAGCTGTTTCATTTTGATATTGTTCATTCGGTAACTACGTGCATTCTTCTTAACATCTTTGACAAAATCTTCCATTTCCTCTTTTGTGATGATACGTATTTCCATAAACTTCTCTGCTAATTCAGTCAACTCAAATTCCTTAATACATTTTATTATCAATCTAATGTTCTCAGATAAAACACAAGATGCAACTATTAAAAACATGATTATTTCAAAATGTAACAATTGTCTTACTTTTTTTATCTATTTTTTGTGATGTTAGTTCCACAGTTGTACTTTTGGTTGCACCTATTAACAAATCATATCATACTGGTAGCTAACATGTACATGTAACAAAAAATTATAGTATACAAAGCATGCATACAATTCTTTATACATGCATAGCTCTACATGTGCCTTAAAAATAATTGCTGCGTAAGTATAACTGAGGCAAACTTTTCTTGTTTTTTCCTTGAAAGCAGGAAGCATACTAAGTGAGCTAAACAGCTAGCATGCTTCATGAGCTGCATGGCATTTGGAGCAACTTAAAAATTCATAAAAAATCCAAAATTGATTGGAATCAGCTAAAATTTTACACCCAACATACATGTGAATGTACAGAAGTACATGTATCAGAAAAAATTATAAAAATGGAGCTATTTTGACTCAGGCCTGTAGCAAGCACTTCAAAAGTGGTCAGGCCAAGATGTGGGTGTGTCAATGTGTTGGTGTGGCAACAAAGAAAACAACTTATTATAGGCATTTGTTGATATTCCTACTTCACAGTTGGTGAGGAGCTGGTGGAAGAACCATCTCAGATTAAAATGCAGCAGCTCTAGTACAAGAATTAGTCATTTTAAGCTGTTGATTGCCTCAAATTTAGTAGTTATTCATTTAATTGCAATAGCAATATTTTATAAAAATAAAAAATTGTTAAAAATAAGAAACAACACCCATTAATCAAGCCCTGCCTCCTTGCCACGCCCTTTTTCGGGCTAAAAAGTGGTACAGCCCTGGCTGTACCAGCCGTACCGCTTGCTACGGCCCTGTTTTGACTTGCTTAGCTATTTTGACAAATTTTGGCCAAAGACCAAAGACTGAATTTTGGTCATTGGCCAAAGGCAGACTAAAGGCTCTTTTTAGTCATTGGTTAAATTTTTTAGCGGCTTCAAAAAATTCATAAAAAAATCCAAATTTGATCAAAATTAGCTTTACAATAATATAACTTGACCTATTGTGCCATTTACACAGAATGCAAAAGTAAGGCTTATGTTGTGATTCTCTGGAACTGACACATGTGTCAAGGTACATACATGTATATTATCGCCACCCATTGTGTCACATACAACTTCATAGGTTATCTCAATCTTCCAGTGTTTCAGGAGAATTCTCCATAGACATTTAGACATCTTTTGCCTGCTATATAAAAAGCTCAAAACTTGCTAGTTGCTGTATTATTTGATATGGCCACACTTACTTTATGTAATGTTTTAATTAATGTTTACATATAAAGCTAAGTATGAATATTGGGTGGGTTGAATCATCCCCATGCATGTAGATCATATAAATAATCACAAACACACATTTTACCTTTAATTTTCTGTGGTCTCTCTGATTCAGGATGATTTGTATCGGTGTTGTTCCCACTCTCATTGGTTTTATCATCAGAATGATCAGGCACTATAGGGAACTGACTATTGGTCTTAATACCAGCAGCACCTGAGGCTGAATATAAAAAGAATGATAATTTCAACATAATACTTTAAGGCTATAATCACTGATACATTTAGTTATAAGTATATACATGTAAATAATGTGAAACTACATGTATTATACTGCCAGTGACTGCTTATACAATGTACCTTTCTGTTGATCATCATTGGACTCACTGATCTGTGTGGGGGAATCAATTGAAGCTGATTTGACCTCTTGAATTGTTGGCTCTATATATTAAGGATAACTTAAAATCAACTTGTAGTGTATAGTAGCTAGTGTATCACTATGTTTTACTATCACCGAACCATACGAAAACCACCAAAAAAGAATAATGCATTAATGAGCTAGTGAAGTGACCTAATAGTAACCTAAAATAAATGCCTACAACTTTTTATGAGGTGTATTCATTACAGTTACAAACAAAACTGAAATAATTACTATTGCAACTAAATATAATCATTAATAACAAACAATTTTATTAATTTTTTACCACTTGCTAAAATTGGGGCTAAATTTCACATGTCAGGTGTGATAGTATATGAGCTACAGTTATTTCCACAATAAATATTTTCAATTGCAATTGCTGAATTACATAAAAATCCAGTAATCATTAGTTGTCAAATTACAACAGCCATGACTGTTAAACATACTATCACATACATGTACACATAAAACTAGTGACAGTGAGTGCTTATACCTTTATGTTGATCATCATTGGACTCACTGGTGGTCTGAGTTGGTGGGTAATTTTTGTCCTTTGGAGTTGTTGGCTCTGTATAAGTATAGACATAAAACAGTCACTAAAATTGCAATTGCTGGACATGCTATTTTTAAAAGGTTAATTGCTAACATAGTCATGTAAATATGTGAAACTAGTGACAGTGAGTGCTTATACCTTTTTGTTCATCATCATTGGACTCACTGATCTCTGTGGCTGAGTGATTTTTGTCTTCTGGAATTGTTGGCTCTGTATAAGTATAAAAATGAAAACAATCATAATATTATTGATACTCCATAATTCAGCAGGATGAGTATCTTTCTGTTTGTACATGTACTGTACTAGTGGGTAGAGCCTGACTATAATGTACCTTTCTGTTGATCATCATTGGACTCACTGATCTGTGTGGGGGAATCATTTGTAGCTGGTTTGACTTTGACCTTTTGAATTCCTGGCTCTATATATTAAGTATATAATATGAAACAACATCTACTTGCATGTATAATACATGTATAGTGTATTGGTATTTTTACTATTACTAAACTACAAAAGCCAACTCACATGTGAAAGAATAAGTACATGTACATATACAATGAGCTAGACAATTGTAATTTTGCTAGGTGAAGTGAGTGTACATGCACACACTATCACATACATACATATATAGATACATGTAATATGAAACTAGTGACAGTGAGTGCTTATACCTTTATGTTCATCATCATCGGACTCACTGGTGGCCTGAGTTGGTGGGTAATTTTTGTCCTTTGGAGTTATTGGCTCTGTATAAGAACAATACATAAAAACAGTCACCTATTACCATTCATACTTCACAATTATTGGGGTTTATAAGTTTAATTGCTGATATAGTCATGTAAATATATAAAACTAGTGACAGTAAGTGCTCATACCTTTTTGTTGATCATCCTTGAACTCACTGGTCTGTGTGGACGAGTCTTCTGGAGTTGTTGGCTCTGTATAAGTATAAACATGAAAACAGTCATAATATTATTGATACTCCACAATTCAGCAGGATAAGTATCTTTCTGTTTTCTGATACATAGGTATTCTAAGTATTTTAATTGCTAATAGTCATTATAACTATTATAAGTACATACATGTACATGTAAATAATTTGAAACTACATGTATCATACTGATAGTGACTGCTTATACAATGTACCTTTCTGTTGATCATCATTGGACTCACTGATCTGTGTGGGGGAATCATTTGTAGTTGGTTTCATCTCTTGAATTCCTGGCTCTATATTAAGTATATAATATGAAACAACATCCACTTGCATGTATAATACATGTACAGTGTATTGGCATTTTTTATTGTCACTAAATTGCAAAAACCCACTCATATGTAAAATAATATTTTTGCTAGGTGAAGTGAGTGTACATTAAACACACACTATCACATACATACACATACATGTAATATGAAACTACTGTATAGCGCTTTATTTTTGACAAGTTTCGAGGAGCTAAACTTTTGCTATTTTTGCGGTTAGCATGAAACCGCAAAATTAAAGATCCGCTAAAATTTCAATTGCTATTAAAGGCGTGGTACTAACATTGCAAATCCACAAAAGTTATTTCTGCAAAAAATTGATTTTTATCAATCCGTGAAATTTTAGCTCCACAAAATTAAAGCACTATATTGTATGTAATGAGTGCTTATACCTTTTTGCTGATCATTGGACTCACTGGTGGTCTGAGTTGGTAAGTAATTTTTGTCCTTTGGAGTTGTTGGCTCTGTATAAACATAGGTATAAGTTAGTGTTGTATTGGTATACCATTACTAATACTAAAAGTATTTTGGTACTGGGTCATGAAATTTGGTATATCATAACTAAAACTAATACTAAAAGTATTAAAATACCATAACTAAAACCAATACTAAAAATAGCACAAATTGCTTTACTAAAATTTATAACCAATATTCATTTCTATGCAATACATTTGGTACAACAATGTTCACTGAAGGGTAAACAGATTAGATTGATATCACTAGATTATCATGTGCAAGTTCATGAAGCACATGTTATGTGTAACTATCTTAGTTGCAAATAGTGATGGGCGATATGGCCCATTTTCTTAATTTTCGATAACGATCGATATTGGACTTTTAAAGGAAATATCGATTATTAACGATACGATAACCACACCTTCATTTTGGGGGTGTGTCAAGGGTGTGGCTAATGATTTTGGCACAGATATAACTGTACTTGTCATGAGAGAAGATCATTTTCATGCTCTTGAGCTTGGTTCTCTTCTGATTGGGGTAGGCTGAGCTAACAACTGGTCAGTTGCTTCTTTCTTGCAGTTCAACAGTGCAATTACTTATTAAAATTAATTATTTAACCTTAATAAATGGGCGTGGTCAATAGATCGATGAAAATTGCATAAAAATTTCGATAATGATTCAAATCGATTCCGTAAAATATCGTTTATATCGATAAAGAATCGATATATCGCCCATCACTAGTTGCAAAATGGCTACTAAAAGTGGAAGACCAAAGAACAGTAACGTATGAGACTACTACACTTATGATGCAGAACTAATACCATTAATTTTAATACAATTAAATCATTAGTCTAAAATTAATAGTGTGACTAGAGTTAGTTTTGTTAAATTACATGTAAGTACCATAATCTACCAAAATTAATATTCGTTACCAATACCAATAGAGTTTTACTTTCGGTAAAATTACTAAAACTAATATCTATAAATCATGAGTATTGGTGAAAATACCATAACTAAAACCAAATCCAAAGTGTGATACCAATACAACACTAGTATAAGTATAGACATAAAGTAGCCACCAGTTATTATCATTCATACTCTACAATTATTGGGGTGAGCCTACTAAGCAGGATGTGGTCTTTCTGTGAGTACATGTACAGCTAACTATTTTTATAAGGTTAATTGCTGTATAGTCATGTAAATACGTATATATTTTTGATAGTGACAGTGAGTGCTTATACCTTTTTGTTGATCATCATTGGACTCACTGATCTGTGTGGAGGAATCATTTGTAGTTGGTTTGACTTTTTGAATTCCTGGTTCTATATTAAGTATATAACAACATCCACTTGCATGTATAATACATGTATAGTCTATTGGCTTTTTTACTATCATTAAACTGCAAAAACCAACTCACATATAAAGAATATGTACATGTACAACAAGCTAGACAATTGTAATTTTGCTAGGTGAAGTGAGTGTACATTAAACTATCACATCGTATACATGTAATATGAAACTAGTGACAGTGAATGCTTATACCTTTATGTTCATCATCATTGGTCTCACTGGTGGTCTGAGTTGGTGGGTAATTTTTGTCCTTTGGAGCTGTTGGTTCTGTATAAATATACACATAAAAACAGTCACCTATTATCATTCATACTCTACAATTATTGGGGTGAGCCTTCTAAGCAGAATGTGGTCCTTCTGTATGTACATGTACAGTACATTTATTCTAACTATTTTTGTACTGTAGTGTGTGAGTGTATCAAAGGCACCACCACAAATTTATATAGTGGAGACCACAGGAGGGGTAGTTAGAAGTGTCATTTACATAATAGTTATAGCACAGTAAAGAGTAATGTATGGCTGATAACGGCACGAGGGGTGGAGTCAAAACAGCCAATACAGCACGAGGCGCGAAGCTCTGAGTGCTGTATTGGCTGTCAAGACTCCACTCCGAGTGCCGTTATCAGCCATACAGCACTCTTTACTGTGCTATAATTAATTTATGGGATATAGTGGGCACATCAAAGGCGTCCGCCAAATGCACTCCTAGAGAAGTTTTCTCGAGTCTTCAAGGTTGAGACAAGGTCGGTACAAACATTTAAAGGCTCGAAAGACAATTTTCTTTGCCACATAACACGGACTTGGCTGCCCGACGATCAATACAAGAACATCTCTGGGCACTGAAAGACAGCAAAATGCCGACAATGGTCGTAAAGGAGTGTTGTGAGTCTGTTCTGCAATAGGTAGAGCAGTTTCATTTCTTCTCTGGTCACAAAGAGCTTCTCACCCAGTACTGCTAGCCATTGTGAAGCCAACCAACCGACACTGTACTAGTGCTGTATGCAATATAACAGAACAGGCAGTGCCTTTGATGCGCCCACGTAGTATACCGTATAGCCACAAAGTTTCGAGGCAATAAACTTTCGCGAATCAGGCCACAAGTCTTTTTTCGTGAATTAACTTTCGCGGTTCTTATTATAAAGCACACGTGTTTATGGGCAATACGGATAATTTTATGGAATTAACTTTCGCGAATACAGAAAATCTGCGAAAACAGCGAAAGTTGTACCCTCAAAATTAAGTGGCTATACGGTACTATAATGGTAGTTAAGGTTATAAATCCTGATAATCATTTATTATAAGTACATACATGTAAATAATGTGAAGCTACATGTATCATACTGATAGTGACTGCTTATACAATGTACCTTTCTGTTGATCATCATTGGACTCACTGATCTGTGTGGGAGAATCATTTGTAGTTGGTTTGACCTCTTGAATTCCTGGCTCTATATTAAATATATATTAATATGAAAAAACATCCACTTGCATGTATAACGGTATAGCAAGGCTGCAAAAGTCATGGCAGCCATTTTAAAGTGAGGTGAATCCTACTTAGTAATGCTACCATGTTACTAATACATGCATAGTGTATTGGCATTTTCTATTATCACTAAACTGCAAAACCAACTCATATGTGAAAGAATATGTACATGTAGAACAAGCTAGACAATTGTAACTTTGCTAGGTGAAGTGAGTGTATGTTAATGACATATGTACATGTACATGTAATATGAAACTATGTAGTGAGTGCTTATACCTTTTTGTTCATCATCATTGGACTCACTGGTTTGAGTCAGTGGGTAAGTTTTGTTCTTTGGAGTTGTTGGCTCTGTATGAAAACGATCATTAATTATCATTCATATATAAAGCATGTATGTCTGCCTGCATGTACATGAATGTATGATTAAAGGCATTCTTTTTATAAAATTAATTGCTGATTATAGTGAACATAACTACATGTATTATAAATGCATGAATAATGTGAAACTAGTGACAGTGAGTGCTTATACCTTTCTGCTGATCATCATTGGACTCACTGGTGGTTTGTGTGGATGTGTCTTCTGGAGTTGTTGGCTCTGTATAAGTATAAACATGAAAACAGTCATAATATTATTGATACTCTGCAATTTAGCAAGATGAGTATCTTTCTGTTATCTGATGCATAGGTATTCTAAGTATTTTAATTGCTGATAGTCATTATAACTATTATAAGTACATACTGGTACATGCAAATAATGTGAAGCTACATGTATCATACTGATAGTGACTGCTTATACAATGTACCTTTCTGTTGATCATCATTGGACTCACTGATCTGTGTGGGGGAATCATTTGTAATTGGTTTGACCTCCTGAATTCCTGGCTCTATATTAAGTATATAATATGAAACAACATCCACTTGCATGTATAATACATGTATATTGTATTGGCATTTTTTATTGTCACTAAATTGCAAAAACACACTCATATGTGAAATAATATGTACAAGCTAGACAATTGTAATTTTGCTAGGTGAAATGAGTGTACACACTATCACATACACATACATGTAATATGAAACTAGTAACAGTAAGTGCTTATACCTCTTTGTTCATCATCATTGGACTCACTGGTTTGATTTTTGTCCTGTGCAGTTATTGGTTCTGTATGAAAACAGTCACTAATTATTATTCATATACTAAGCAGCATGTGTGTCTGTCTTCATGTGCATGAATGTTAATTTATGGGCATTCTGAATATTTTTATAAGATTAATTGCTGATCATAACTTAATATACCGTATAACGCTTTAATTTGGCGGAGTTTTATTTTGGCGATTGGCGGTTTGCAAGCAGGATCACCAATATTAAAACTGCCAATCATTAATGTGCATGCTCAGTAATGCACGTGTACACAAAAATCGTCAAATTAAAAACCACCAATTACAATTTTACAGCAAAATCGCCAAAATAAAGCGCCGCCAAAATAAAGCATTATACGGTAATTACATGTATTATAAATACATGAATAATGTGAAACCAGTGACCATAGGCGGCGGCAGGGTCGGGCATGGACGGGCAATGCCCGACCAAAAATTTTGACCGGAAATGAAAATTTAATAAATGACATCATTTTTAGTCATAAATAATTACCATGGCTAGCAAGAGACAGTCTTTTCTGCTTTCCTTTGTCAACAAGCCTTCCAGGAGGACCAGGACTAGCACTTTACAGGTTGGATAGAGCTTTACAGATAAGATAGGGGGCCTTTTAGGCTCATTTTTATGCTTTATCATATTGTATGCGTGCGTTGAGTATACGCCCAAAAATAGGCAGAGAAAGTGGGTGTGGCCAAAATCACGGCGCACTTTGCGCGCCATTTTTTGCCCGACTGCTCTTCAAATCCTGCCGCCGCCTATGCCAGTGACAATGAGTGCTTATACCTTTTTGTTCATCATCATTGGACTCACTGGTTTGTGTGGAGGAGTCTTTTTGAGTTGTTGGCTCTGTATAAGTATAAACATGAAAACAGTCATAATATTATTGATACTCCACAATTCAGCAGGATGAGTATCTTTCTGTTACTACATGTGCATGTATACAAGATGCACTGGTATTCTAAGTATTTTTATAAGGTAATAATTGCTGATATTTATTATAATTATTATAAGTACATACATATAAATGATATGAAACTACATGTATCATACTGATAGTGACTGCTTATACAATGTACCTTTCTGTTGATCATCATTGGACTCGCTGATCTGTGTGGGGGAATCATTTGTAGTTGGTTTGACCTCTTGAATTCCTGGCTCTATATTAAATATATAATATGAAACAATATCCACTTGCATGTATAATACATGTATATTATATTGGCATTTTTTACTATCACTAAAGTAAAAGAATGTGTAATTACCACGAGCTAGAGAGTTGGAATTTTGCTAGGTGAAGTGAGTGTATATGCACACACTATCACATACATACACATACAGATACATGTAATATGAAACTAGTGATAGTGAGTGCTTATACCTTTTTGTTCATCATCATTGGACTCGCTGGTGGTCTGAGTTGGTGGGTAATTTTTGTCCTCTGGATTTGTTGGCTCTGTATAAGTACAAGCATAAAAACAGTCACCTATTATCATTCATACTCTACAATTATTGGGGTGAGCCTACTAACCAGAATAAATGTATTCTAGCTATTTTTATAAGGTTAATTGCTGATATAGTCATGTAATACCGTATACCGGTTTATTTTCATAGTAAAATATTTTTGCAAATTTTCTGGTTTCTTGCTCTGCCACAAAATTTTTGCACCACAAAATTCTGCATTTCCATTGCCATGTGATGCAGTCTGCCATAAGCTATACACAAAAATTAATTCTGCAAAATCTTAGAAATGCAAGATTCACAAAAATTTTCTACTACGAAAATAAACCGGTATACGGTATGTGACTGTGACAGTTGCTTATACCTTTCTGTTGATCATCATTGGACTCACTGATCTGTGTGGGGGAATCATTTGTAGTTGGTTTGACCTCTTGAATTCCTGGCTCTATATTAAGTATATAATATGAAACAACATTCACTTGCATGCATAATACATGTGTATATGTACTGGTATTTTTATTTATTTTTATTAAAATAATAATCACAAACACACATTTTACCTTCAATTTTCTGTGGCATTTCTGATTCAGGATAATTCATATCAGTGTTGTTCCCACTCTCATTGGTGGTTTTATCGTCAGAATGATCAGGCACTATAGGGAACTGACTATCAGTCTTAACACCAGCAGCACCTGAGGCTGAATAAAAAAGAATGATAATTTCAACATAATACTTTATTGGCCTCGCCCAGCTTTGTGTAGGCGAGGACTAGGTACTACTGTTGTCTGTCTGTACAACAAGCTAGATGTACAACAAGCCAGACAATTTTAATTTTGCTAGGTGAAATGAGTGTATGTTAAGCACACACTATCACATACACATACATGTAATACGAAACTATGTAGTGAGTGCTTATACCTTTCTGTTGATCATCATTGGACTCACTGGTTTCAGTCGGTGAGTAATTTTTGTCCTTTGGAGTTGTTGGCTCTGTATAAGTATAAACATGAAAACAGTCATAATATTATTGATACTCCACAATTTAGCAGGATGAGTATCTTTCAGTTTGTACATGCACATGTATGCATGATGTATTCTAATGCTGCGTTTACACTACAGAAGTGGGCCAAACTGTGCTGAACCAGGCTGAGCTGGCCCTGCTGTACTAACCATGCTGGCCTGGTTTGGCCCAGCTCACTTCAGCTCAGTTTGGTTACTGTTTACACTATCAAAGGAAACTGTGCTGGCCCACTTTAAACAGGGCTGGCTCAGTTAAAGAAGCTAGTGTAAACACAGTATAAGTATTTGAATAAGGTTGTAATTGCTGATAGTCATTGTAACTATTACAAGTACAGCAAATTGCAGAGATCTTGCAAACCAATTCATAAACCAATCTATGAACTTCAAAGGGGACTGTCTAAATTGAGGTGTGTCTTGTATTGTGTGGTCACATTACCACCTACTTGGCAGTTTGCAAATAGCTGTACATACATGTAAATAATGTCAAGCTACATGTATCATACTGCCAGTGACTGCTTATACAATGTACCTTTCTGTTGATCATCATTGGACTCACTGATCTGTGTGGGGGAATCATTTGTAGTTGGTTTCACCTCTTGAATTCCTGACTCTATATTAAGTATATAATATGAAACAACATCCACTTGCATGTATAATACATGTATACTCTATTGGCATTTTTTATTGTCACTAAATTGCAAAAACCCACTCATATGGGAAAGGATATGTACATTACAAGCTAGACAATTGTAATTTTGCTAGGTGAAGTGAGTGTATGTTAAGCACACACTATCACATACACATGCACATATATGTAATATGAAACTAGTGACAGTGAGTGCTTATACCTTTATGTTGATCATCATTGGACTCACTGGTGGTCTGAGTTGGTGGGTAATTTTTGTCCTTTGGAGTTGCTGGCTCTGTATAAGTATAGACATAAAAACA